ACACACTAAAATATGGAATAATCAAACTACCCGCTTATTGTCAGAATTTGAACAATTGTAGAGCGCCATCCATAATTGACGGCAAAATCAGCTGTAAATAGCCCGTAAGTGATTTCGACATATTGTGAAATGTTGCGAAATCACACCAATAAGTGCTGAATTTTGCCATCATTTATGGACGGCGCTCTACAACTTCACACTTCGTATTTTGTATGTATTCAATACAAGATTATATGCGTGTGAATCAAACTAGTAGCCAATGACACTTATACGCGAGTTGATTTACATCTAGCAATAAATGAACGAAAAATGTCACTACTTTCACTAAACTACCGTCAGATGTCACTTGTTTGACGGTTTATTTACATCATACACTAATTTCAAAATGACAGATTTAGGTGTGTATCACTATAGTAATGTGTTTAAATGCTTTGACTGTGTCATACCGTGTGATTACATAGTAAGTCCACGGCACACATTGAAAATACATTGAGCTATGTATAGTTATGTTTTGGAATTATGTAAAATTGATTTGATTCCCGAATAATGAACAAAAATTAGAATATCGAACAACAAAATTTTCAGGAAAATTCCATTTATTGGAAGTTTTTAATCTCTCTCTTCAGTGTTTGAAATAAAATTTACATTATTTTCAAATGAACCAATTTTTCTATGTGTACAATAAACATATGAAATTAAAATGTTCAGTATCTTAAAGAAGGTTGCGACCATTTTTGTTAAATGGAGTGCATTAAATATGAAGTCACGACCATTTTTTATGTATTTGAATATTTTGGAAGAATCATTTAGTGGAATCTATTTAGTTTATTTCACACTAACACATGCTCATATACAGAGTACCATGATGCATGAATATGAATCGAGCAATAAAGTGTAAAGCGATTGAATTCTTATGAATAGGTTGAAGTATCAGTAACTCTGGAAAATTATGTCTTTTCTGAAACATTTTCAAAAATAGAATATCTTTAGTAACTGTTTGTTCGAATTGTATCATTGCAACATCTGTTTGAGCGCTAGTTACAAAATAAGATTCTTTTAAATCATCATTCTTATGAAGTTAGATCAAATATTCGTTTATTTGCTTGCTACGTAATTTTATTTCCTTCTTATGCACAAATTAAGAGAAAAGTGGGAGTGCAACAGTGAAAATAGAGCAGCAACAACAGCGTTTCTTGTTTAATTTTAGCCGCTTTCATGTTCAAGTAATTGCTTCGTACGCAGAAGAGATGAAAAAAACATAAAATCAGTCGTCTCATCTCTTTCCGAAGGAAGAGAGCAAATAAAGGCACCGAAATGAAATGAATGACGGAGGCCACGCAATGTGGTCAGATTTTTAGAGAACATGGGCATACTGGCTAGCCATACTGTGTGTCAGAAGCAATCTGATTGTTGGCTCAAATCACTAAAGTCATGACTGTCGTTGTTCTAAAATGAGTCAGCGTCTCTTATGCTCCGGATACACGCGCTCTCTTGGATCTAACATCGGCTGAAATCCACGAAATGAAGTGAATGCATGGCCGTTGAGTCCGGAAAGAGGCAAAGGAAATCCAAGACAAAAAGAGATCCCAGTATCACTGGTTGCAAATTAATTTCGAAATAGACAACATCTCATGCACACTTCCGACGCAGCCATGTTTCTGGCACTTTTCCGTTATTTTCATTTATCTTCACTTTGAATACCACATACACATTATATCACACATACTGTGCCGAGACTCGAGCGGTGGACAACATATGTTTGTATTGAATGGCACCACTGTCGCTATTCAAATAAGCACAAAAACGTAGCATCGTAATAAAAAAAAAGACAGAACAATTATTTTTTTTTCTTGTCATGACTCTTGGCCGCCGCCTCTGCTATCGCGTCCGAACTAAAAACTTTTTACATTGATGGCAACTGCTCCGTCGTATATACGTATTTCGTCAGAGAATGAAGAAGAGAAAATGAAAGAATGGAAAAAGAGAGGGAGCAGGAGTCCTGTTGATATAGGTTTATGGCTGGTGTGGCGCTGTTTGGTGTCACTGTGTGTGTTTCATTTTAAATTGCGTTTAGTTCACTTTCACCACTTGACGCGTGATTTTCAGATTTTCAAAGCACAAGGGTTAGATGTGAATTATACCGTACTAAAACGGATGTGAGATGAATAGATACACTTACACATGCTTCCAATACATTCAAATGAAATACACCATTTAAATATATGATTTCGGTTGTGCTTTGTGCGAAGCATTTTAATGTTTTTGAACGACTTTAATGTAACGAGATAAAATTTCGGACGTGCCACTGGAGCATACGCACAAGAAGAGGAAGTCAACGAGTGAGCGTAAAAAAACTTTTCATTTATCTTCGTTTCGTTTGTTTTGATTTTCTTCTCTCGCGGATTTGTGGGTGCTTGAAGTTGTGGGATGGAGCAGTCCGTAATGGAATGTGTAACTGTACTTTTTCTCCTTCCGTCCCTTGAACCTGTTTCCGCCCACTCTTTTCTTCCATATGATATGTTGATCAGCACCGGCACAAACGTACTGAAAATTAAATTTATTTAAACCGATTCATAGTTTTCAATTCGATCAAAATTAGAATCATTTAATTTAACGAGAGAAATAAATAGCTATGAGGTCTCATGATGATGTCGACGACAGAAAAAAAGATTGTTGGTAAGCGCGCACGAAAGCAGAAATAATAAAAATGAATAAAATGTCAAATATTTTTTCGTTTTTAAATCTCGCTGCGATTATATCAGTGAAATGAATTTGAACCAACGACATAGAATAGCAAAGGCCGCGATCCGCGCATTAATTTTGGTACTATGATTCAAATTTAGCCACCCAGAAGTGTTGGTGTGTGTGCAAACAAAGCTAATGAAAAATGAATACATGGCGGCCAGAGCAGACGAAGAGCGACACTCTCACACCAACGCTGAGCTTAACTTAATTTATATTTCCTTTTCCGTAAAGCAAATGGTATTCAAATTAGGAGCAACGATATCACAGCCGGCGACAGCCTGCGCGAGTGACGAAAGCACCCTAGTGCTGAAAGTCGAACTCGCACAATTTAAAACTACGCCCTACTATAGACGGACTATAGTCGGAATTTCGGCTGTTATACGCTCTCAGTCTATATTTCGCCTAAAACTCGAACTGATAATCAACTTTCAGGCGTATATTTGTCTGAAATCCAGGCGTAAAAACGGCTGGAATACAACTTACTGGGAGGAATATCGACTGAGAGCGTATACTAGCCGGAATTCCGTCTATATTCAGGCGTAAATTTTAAACAGTGCACCTATATATGTATACACGCAATTTCGAACTTTTTTTCTGAGTAATTATCTGGTATGAATGAAGTATGGTTAGAAAGTTCCTAGATCATAGGCCCAGAAAATGCACTCAAACTAGGAAATCGATCTCCACAGATATGGCCACTTGAAAATTTAGAGCAATTCTCAGTTTTTTCCATTTTACGGATGTTGGACCGGGCCCGTTAATCTTCAATTCATTCATTTTTCTGAATCTAATCGTCCAGACCTTTCCAACAAGCCCAAGAATGTCGAAATCGGACCAACCGTTCATGAGTTATGGCCATTTGGAAATTTTCTTTGCCGTCGCCACCAATTATTCTGAGATATAAGTTTTGTCTGTCTGTCCATAGTTTTTGTTCGATCTGTTTCAAACTTTCAGGCATTGAAGTGTATCAAAAACAAAGACATTTTTGTTCCGCCACTTTTTGATCTTGGTCTTGGCGGGCCTTTGAAAATTCAAAAAAATGGCCTTCCTTCCAATGGCTACTGTGCCCAAACCAGTCAACCGATTTCAGACTTTTGGATATCGTTGAAAAGGTATCAAGGTTAAAATTTTCCCATCCGCTCGATAGAGCCTCCATCGATTGAATCGAAAGAGTTTTTCAAAAG